GGGGGGGGGGGGGGTGGTGGTGGTGGAAGGAAAAGAATAAAAACTTTAAAATATTTTGAAATAAATAAAAATTAAAACTAGGCCCAGCTATAGTGTCACAAGCAGAAAAGTACTGATGAGCTATGGCTGAGGCCACAAGCGAGACCAAGGTTTAGTTTTGGCCCATCCTGAACAACATGGGCATGGTGGTATTTGTTTGTGATCTTAGCTAACTGGGAGGCTGAGGCATGAGCACTGTAACATGAGGTCTGGTCAAAAATACTTTCTCAGTCTCTCTCCTGGTCCCTCTCCCTTTCACACTTTCTTAGTTTTTTAAGGTTTATTTCCTCCATGAGTGTGTGCAAGAAAGCAGCAGAAAGACAGCACCCCAACAAGGTCTCAGGGGCATTATGATCTACCTTATGATCTACCTCCAGCCTCTGCAAGCTCTGAATAATGCGTACACTCATACCCAGTATACTCAGGGAAGTCTCCAGAAGTGAACCCAGAATACTCCTATGTGGGTCAGCCTCACAGAGCATCACGGTCTAGCCTTCATCTCTCATTTGAAAAATAAAATAAATAACAACATAATGTGTCAAATTTATGGGATGCAGCTAAAGCAGTGCATGGAGGCAAATTTATAGTATTGAATGCTTATGTTAGAAATGAAGAAAATTCTATGGGACCAGCAGTTAGTGTAATAGTTATGTCGCTGGACTCCCATGTAGTCGACCATGGTTCAAGTCCCAGACCAGGTGGCTTAAAACTCACTCCGGGCGCATGTGCCTCCGTGCCCAAGATCCCGAGAGGAGAATGGAGAAGGGATTGCGGCATGGCCATCCCCCCTGGGGGGGTGATTTCTTGCTTTCTGTCTCTCTGTCTGTCTGGCGCGTGCACACGCCCTATAGCAAAAACCTTTCAAAAAGAAAAAAAAAAGAAATGAAGAAAAGTCTAAATTATCTAAGTCATTATGTAAGGTTCTATTACAATGAAGTCAATTATCTAAGCATCTATTATAATGAAATAGAGTCTGGACAGGGGCCACAATAGGATCAAAATCAATAATTTAAAGTAAAATCAATGATAAATAATAGAGAAAAATCAACAAAGGCAGAAGTTGGTTCCTTTGTTAAAATAAATATGTAGCAAGACTAATTCAAAAGGGAAAAATACATACATTAATAATGAGAAAAAAGGAGAAGACATCACTATGGCTCCTACAGATATCACAAGGAATAATTATTAATAATTACATGCCAATAAATTCACCAACTTAGCTAAACCAGATTCTTATGAAAAACACAAATTACTTAAACTCATTAAAAATAAACAAAAAACAAACAAACAAAATCCTGTATCTACCAAGGAAACTGAATTTATAATTTAAAACATTCCCCAAAAGAAAACACCAAGTTAAGATGGCTTAGGTTCAAATGGCTTCTCTATTATAGATTTCTCCAAAGAAGAAAAAGCAACAGAAATCCTACACAAATTCTTAAAAAAGGGGAAGAGGAAACAGTTCCCAACTAGTACTAAATCCATGAGAATACAAGTAAACCACAGATTAGTATCCTTCATAAATATGGATGCAAAAATCCTTAATAAAATATTAGCAAATCAAGTTCATAAATGTATTTAAGAAGTAATACACCACAGACCAAGAATATTTTATGCCAAGAATACAGGTGGATTTGATGACCGAAAATCACTGATATCAATAAGCAGAGAAAAAACTTATGAAGAGTTGAAAATTCACAAGTTTTAAAAACTTCCCCCTCAATTCCAATATTTACTCTATATATCATGAACCACTGTGATGTGATATAAAAAGTTCCATTCTAGAAGTTAGAAGACTAGGCTCAGTTGTCTAGACCAGAGTAGGGGAATAAGCATATCTCAAAATTCTCTTCCATGTCCCAGTGGTTAAGGGACTCAGGTAACATGGCTGACTGTGTAGTTTAAATCCTGGACCCAGCAGTCAGAAAAAAATACCAGCACATGTGTATGTATGCCTAAAATCACATCAGAACTGAAAAAAGGAAAAGGGGGTGCTTTCTCTCTCTCTCTCTGTTGAGTACATTCACCCATTGGCAAACTAAAAAAAAAAAAATAATAAAACCCCTACCACTTCACCATTAAAGTACTACATGGGACTGAATGTAAAAATTATGTTTGAAAGGTTAAGTGTTAAGAAACCAAATGCAGGCCAGTAGGTGGTACGGAGGTTAAGGTGTTGGATCCCCCGTGGCTGACTGTGTGGTTCCAGTCCTGGACCTGGTAGCTAGAAAATCATGCCAGCTACGTGTACATGCATGCTCAAAACCCCAAGAGGAGACTGAAGATGGTACTGCAGCTTGGCCATGCTCTCTGGGAGGTGACTTCTCACGACCCTCTCTCTCTGTCTCTCTTCAGCAAGCACATGTTCCCTATGACAAAAATCTTTTAAACAAACAAAAAGGAATTTGCTATGATAATGCTGGTGTTTTCTTTTTCTTTTTCTTTTTTTTTTTTTTTTTGTCTGAGGGCATGTACACTCTCTAGAGAGAGAGAGAGAGAAGGAGAGAGGTGGGGACAGACAGAGAGAAAGTAAGAAGGCAATTCTCTCCCTGTCCAATGAGGACGGTCACACTACAATCCCTTTTCCATTTCTCCCGCCTTTCAGAATCTTAGGCATGTGCTTGCAGGAGTGTATATACCAAGCTTCTGGGTCCAGGAATGAAATAATGTAGTTGGCCATGCGGGATCCAGCCACCTTAACCACCATGCCACAAGCTGGCCCAATGATATGTTTTTCAAGTAAGAGGAAAAGAGAAAAGGAAGATAAAATAATCAGAAATAAATGGGGCTAGGAATTCCCAAATTTATAGAAATCAGAACTATAGGAATAATAAAAGCAAAAAGAAGGGCAAGATGGTAGTGCATCAGTAAAATGCGATCCTCTGGTAAATAACTCCACATGGAAAGGTTGTCAGTTCAAGTCCGCAGACCTCCATATATATGTTAGGCATATGTGTGCCTATGATCTAGAGCTGCAGCAGCTAG